GTACTCTGAGTGCTGTATTATATATCACTAGCTCACTGGGGTGTAATTAATACATACCACTGGGTGAATAAACGAGCCTGGATTGTGCCCAGTTGCTTGGGGTAGACTGGAAAGCCCCTGACCTGGGGTAGGACACATTTGCTCCATCCCAAATTTCTTCTGGAGCAGCCACAGGACACAGACTGAACAAATGTCTCTTGTGTCTCATACGGATGGAGATAAAAACATAAATGTTGTATATTTCTAGGTCAGTGGCCATCAGTAGTCACACGTTGCCCATGAGATATTCTGAGCTGTTTTGTAGCCACACGATGCTGCTACCAATTGGTTAATAAAGTATCTGAGTAGCAGCTTTTGTAAGACCTACAATTTTTGAACTGTACAGCTGTGGTGAACTGGGGGGGGTGTTGGTCTGAATCTGTGAGCCTTCTCTCTTTTCAGGGAGGCAGTGAGCTAGGTTTAGCCAATGCCTTTCAGGGGAAATTCTCCCTCCTAGGTCTTGACTTGTCCTTCAGCTGACTCTTGCGGCCCAGCAAAAGATATCAGATGCTGCTGCCGCTACTACTGCAGCAGACTTCCATAGTTTTGTCTATCCCAGCTACAAATTTTCTCCAGAATAAGCTTCTCTATGCTACATTTCTCAAACTCATCTGAATTTTTTCTTAATGCTAGATATATTCCCAGGTAGTGCTACTCAGCTTTGCTCTAACAGAACACAGGTGAGCTGCTTCACAAAGACCATTTTCCTCTCCATAGATGCTACCTATAGTTTTGGTTTTCATATTCTAACAGCGTATTGGAAAAAAAAAAATAAAATTAGAGCAGATGACAAAATCCACAGAAGTGATTTGGGGTCTGGAGTGTGTACCTTATGCTAGTCTACCATCTAAGCTCTACCACCAGCACATCCTAGACAGTCTCACTTGATGGTTAATCCAAGGGGCAAGATCTGATGAAGCTCCATATAGTTGTGGGAGTTAAGGCCTCCCAATCCTCAGTATTTCAATATGTATGGGCAAATTTAGATGGCTCCTCACTTGGTAGCCTAGGGTGCCCTTGAACTCATGTCAGCCACTGAAATGCCGAAGTCTTTGGGTGTTTGAAAGGCCTGATTTTGAGTCCTGGATTTTGTTGTGGGGGTCAGCTAGGAAACAGTTAAGCATTGCAACACCAAAGTCCATTTGTGGAGCTGAGCCTATCTTCATGCTTTTGCAAACTGGCTCAAAGCCTCTCAGAGCTGTAGGCAAAGATTAATTTTGTACCTGAGACAAGCTCATGACTGCCTCCGTTCTGGAAAGCAGAGGAAGGAGACAGAAGCTGGAAAGACAGCAAGGATGGGGAAAGCTCCAAAAAAATGGGATGTGTGGTTGTGTAGGGGGTCCCCTAAATACTGGTCTGTTACGTGGTGGGAGCAGGCAAAGAGCTCCATGGGAGGAGCCATGTCTGTAGTGTTTTATCGACCTTTCTCTCCCCCTTTCTTCCAATTTGTTGCCATAAGCAACTGGATATTTTGGCTATATCTAGAGGCACAGCCAGACTCACTACTGAAGCTCTAAGGAGACCTATGAAAATAACCAACCAACTAATGAATAATTCATCAAATGCCGGAGTTATTTTAAATGATTTCATGATATGCTCTTTAGTACTAGGTGAAGTGCATCTCCTGATTAGGATGTCTATTTTCCTTCCTTGCTCATTTTTTGCTTTTGTGTAAAATGCCTGTGCTTCTTACCTCCCTGGTCCAATCTTTTATCAATAAAAAAGAATAAGTTCACATCCTAACACACAGAGTCTCTGTACCAGGTAAGTTTAAAATGAAACAGTCCTGATAACCTTTGGTGGTCTGCTTCACATGGTGCGAGCGTAGGGGATATGCCCACATCACACGAGTTCGGCAGTTTGGGGAGCTCCCAGACATACCACCTGTGACAACAGTGCTCTTGCAAGTGCAGCTGCCCACAGACAGCCTGTTCGGACACACCAGGTGCCCCCCATGCTGCTTACTGCTGGTAAGGCTGCAAAAATGGTGTCCTGGGCTGCAGTAGGCACGGTGTCACCAGCAGGTTGAGGAAAGTGATTATTCCACTCTCCTCAACACTGATGAGGCTGCACCTGGAGTGGTGGGTCCAGTCCTGAGCTGCCCAGTACAAGAGAGTGCAGGACATACTGGAGACAGTCCAGTGAAGGCCCACGAAGATGATGAAGGGACTCGAGCGTCTCTCTTATGAGCAACTGCAGAGGAGTGTCTGAGGTCTACAGAGTGAATTTAAGCACTCTGGGAGTCCGTCTGGTAACTTCAGAAACATGAAACTAGATCAGAAGTCCTCAGAGCAGGACAGATGCATACCACTCACTTCTGGACAACTTCTCTAAGTTCTTTAGCAAAAGCCATGTATTCATGAAACCTAAAAGACCATTCCTAAAAAACCTAAAATGACAAAGTGTTGTCATTTTGGCCTTGTAATAGTCAAATCTGGAGAATAACCTCAGCTGTGCCTCTCAGGAGATAAGCTGTAATATCCCTAAGGACATTCTTCACAGATGCTATAAAGTCTAGAATAGCACAGCTCTGCAACTATGCTCCTCCTGATCCCCTTCCTGATCCCCTTCTAATGGGTGACAGCAAGTGAGAGCAACAGAGAGATTCATGTTACCTCTTTTATCTGCATACTGCCAAGAGTCAGAATCCAGGCTTCCCAAGTGTCTCCAATAGCCTCCTACATTTCTTTCCTTTAACTACCGGGCCTCCCATACTCCATCCTTCTCAATGAAGTGAGGAAAATTGTGGTAAAGAACAGAAGATGTTAAAACCACAGTTTCTCCAGCACAGTGATTCACTATCACTGGTTAGTCATTGACATACTGTTCTTCACTTTCTCCTACACATTATTAGGAGGGGAAAAATCATTAGTAATCACTGGGTTAAATCCTCTCCATGCTATGGGGCAGCTGTTCACCGCAATTGGGTTTTGTTATAGAAAAATATTTGGAATTGTGCTTCTGAGATTTCCTTTCCCTCCTATACAGCACAACTGGCTGAAATAAAAGGTTTACTTCTAAAGGTCATTTCAAACTGTGGTAACGTGGTAGACAGATTTCCTCTCTGAACTACGGTGCTGGCTTGACTCTGAGATATCATACTTTGCCAAGTGCACTTACAGACTCTGTCAGATTTGCAGTAGTTGAGGGAAGGCCACCTACGTATAATTTTTTTCTCTCTAACTTTGCTCATGTGGAAGATCACCATCACCTTACCGATTTAACCACATTCAGGAACTACTGCTGTTTTTAAGATGCACGTGCCACGTCACAGTTTATTTTATTTGGGACTTGCTGGCCGAATATTTTCTAGCCTTATTGATTTAGTACCCTTGAATTTTTCAGTCACTGCTGCTAGTATTTCAATACCATCAAGATAGAAAGTGCCTGTCAGGTGATGGAAGTCTAACATAGATTGCAGTCACTGGTGATTTGAATGTGGTAATGAGACGTCTGAATTTAGCGTGATAGATCACACATCTGCTGCGGAATTACCCATTCAGAATCGTCGCTCCCTCTGTCCTTGCACAACAAAGCAAAAGGAACACCCACAAGTCCACCTGTTGTTGGGAACAAATACTCAGTGATTATCTGATAGCACCGAGGCAGCACTTTCTCTGCAACTGACACGGGTATGACACGGGTAAGAACATGGGAAGTTAGGAGGCACCTTTATCAATCGAGTACAGCTGACAGAATGACCCAGGCCTTTGATTTCTTTTATGTTACATGATCTGCTTTTGGCTCGGAGAATTTTATGTGTTTGAATTACAAGTTCCTGTGGCAACTTGCATGTTGTAAAGGACCAAGTGCAGCAGGACAGAGAGGCCCAGAAATGGTGCTCGATATGCCGAGATTCAGAGATTGACTGAGAAGGCACAGCTGCCCAGACATCTAGCTGTCTGCTAGGCCAGTGAGATCTTTTATTTAACATGTCATCTACAATGTCTGATAGAGCACAACATTGCACCATCTTAAATCGAAATGGCAAAAAATGAAGTAGTATCTTCTTCACATTAAATGACTTTCAAGAGGGTGGCAGAGATAAGGAGAAGTTACAACTGGCCCATATTATTCTTAGGTTTTAATGTACTCTTTGGCAGACTGCCAAACCAAGCACTCAGAAATGCTGAACTTCATCCAGAATTCTTGATCCAACCCTATAAATCACGAGAGTTCAAATAATTAATGTGAGATCCTATTTATTTGTTTTCCTGCTTTCAAGTTGTTCAGATTCCAACTGCAATTTTCCTAGCATGGAGTTTGTAGAAGAGAAGAGCCTCGAAAAATCGCTTAAGAAACGTGACTTTTGCAAATAGACACCCGGGACTGGGACCAGCCTCCCGTGCCTGTGACAAACTGACACTGCTCCGTGATAAAATCATCACCATTTTGGCCTCTGCAGCTTCTGCTGTGAAGCTATTCCCAGAACCTTGCTGCTCGAGGCGTGAAACCTCTTAATATCCAGCCTGAACTACTCGTGCTGGGTTTACGCCAGCGCGTTCCCCTGCCAGCGCTGTCCTTGACCGTCAGCAGCGACAAGATCGCAGGCTGGATGGGCTTCAGAAAAACACCAAGTGCTGCAGGAGACGGTGGCAACAGCTGCAGGGGGGGGCAAGCCACGCTGGTGCCTACCAGCAGTAAAATATTAGTTGGAAATTAGGAGAAATTTCTTCTCAGAAAGAGCAGTCAGGCGTTGGGACGGGTTGCCCAGGGAGGTGGTGGTTCCTAACCCTGGGGGTGTTCAGGGAGAGGTTGGACGTGGTGCTTAGGGACGTGGTGGTAGGGGATGGTTGGACCAGAAGATCTTGTAGCTCTTTCCAAGCTTAACGATTCAAGGGCTGTAAGAAGCGGGGTGTTGGCAGCAGGCACCCCCTGCTCCTGAGGCCTGCCGGCTGCCTCCAGCCCGGGGAGGACGGCAGCTAGGGGGAGCTCGGCCGGGCCGCCGCCGCCGTGCGCCCCGGTTCCTTTCACAGGCTCCCCGCCTCCTCCCCTCCCTCCTTCCCCCGTGATGGCGGAGGACAGCGAGTCTGCGGCCAGCCAGCAGAGCCTGGAGCTGGATGACCAGGACACCTGCGGCATAGACGGCGACAATGAGGAGGAGGCCGAGCACGCCAAGGGGTAGGGGCGCGCCGGGGGCCGGCCGGGCTCAGCTCGCCCCGACCAGGGCTGCGCGGCGGCGGCCACGGGGGCTGCGTCCCTCCCTCCTCCTTCCCTTCTTCCCTCCCTCCCGGCTGTTGTTTACGGCGATTTCCCAGGATTTCGGGGCTGTGCTTTGGGGTCTGGGGGTTTTTAGGAGGCACCCCCGGCTTGGCCGAGGAGCCCCAGGGCGAAACGTGCGCTGCAGCCCCGCGTCTGCCCCAGCCCGGGGCCCTGCCGGGCACCCCGACACGGTGCCTGCGGGTGGGTGGGTGGACGGACAGACGGACAGACGGATGGATGGATGGATGGATGGGTGGATGGACACCCCTCAGCTCCCTATTGTCCCAATCTCCCCGTCTCCGGGCCTGTGCCCGCTGCCCGGGGAGCGGGGGCAGCTCCCGGCCGGGAGGCGCCGTGTGGAGCCTCGGTGCCGTGTATCCGGCACTGCTGCAGCGTGGGGCTGTGGGGAAGGAAACGCGGATTAAAAATACGGTTTCGTTTCAGTGCGCCTTCCCCCCGCTTTTTTTGAGGATTAAAAAACACGGTGGTGAAGGAAGCGCTTTGTTGTCTCAACTAGGAGTGGCTGGAGTAACCCGAAATAGGTTAATTCACACGCCGCTACGCAGATACCTTCCTCATGAATTTCTGATTCATTTGGGTGAGAGCGTTTCTGTAGGTGATTGATGTTTGGAGATGTAAGCTGTTTGTCGTCTCCTGCCCCTAGGATTTGCTTGGCAACAAGCAGCACTGCATCTTAAATGTGGCAGGAAAATCCCAGAGACTTGGGGGACTGACTTCAGTAAAAGGCAGGAAAAGGAAAACTTCCGTGCCCACCACTCTGTTGGCATGTTCACGGCACACACGTGAAAATATTTGTCAAAAATAATTGCGCTAATAGCATCCCTGAATATTAAAATGGAGCAAAATAGCATTTAATTGTCATGGTGCTTTTGTTGTATTTGTTTGCACGAATGCGCTACAGTCGATGATTCCCAAATACATAAAAGTAGCACCACTAAGAGCAGGGGATGATTATTCATCGCTCTTCGCAGACGAAGACGTGCCAGGCCAGACTGTTAGCTGGGTAATGGCTGTCTAGGATTCATTCCTATTTCATTCCTACTGCAGTTTCTTCTTCTGTCAGCTCTGGTGACCGAGCTGTAGTTGCCCTGTGCAGTGCAGCCTGTCAGTGGCCCTGTGCTCTGGACACCGGGTGCAGGAGCAGCGCCCAAGCAGCGGCCGTGGAACAAAGAATTGAGCTCCTGCGTGCTCTTGGGCTGCTGCTGCGCTCCGGCTGGGGTCTCGCTGAGCTTTGTGGGACACCTGGAGCTGCAGACTGTACGCTGCTCTCTGCAAAGCTTGTTTTTATTAAAAGCGCCAAATGTGTTTTAATGAGTATTTCAAAGAAGCTGCTTTATTCTTCTTTGAATTAGGAACTGAATGTTTCAAGTAATACGAAATTTCATGATGTTAGTGGCAGACTATTGCAGTAAAGAAAAGCTTCTAAGCATTAGTGTCAGTTTTCTGCAATGCTTTTGATGCATGAAGTCTAATATTGACGTCTGAATTACTGTATTTTGTGTTCTTGTAGTCTGTGAGAATCTTGTTTGCTACAATTGGTCTGCAGGCTGAAGTATTCAAACAAATTCCATCAAAGGGAAAGACAAGTCTTAACGCTACAGCAAACACACTGTCTTAAGTCCTACTTTCAATCAGGGGAAACTAACCCGTAGTAATAGGAGCCTGTACTAGTACCCTTTTTCTCCCTGTTGTAGTATCTTCATTTTAGAGGTGGCTTTAAAGTTTCCTTTGAGTTTTTAGATTAGGTTTTATACACTTAAGCAATTTATAAGCAGTCTTACGACTTAAAACTGTGACTGTGCCAACTGGCTTGCTAAATTCTGAATGGTCTCCATTCATGCTGATCAATATTTAATCTTGTGCTATCTTTACCTGTAGTTTTTTATAAGGAGGTAGAGTATGTGTTGCGTGACAGTCTCTAACAGGATTGCTTTGTCAATGAAGTTACTTCCAAACTGTTTCTTAATGTGTCCTTCTAATATTGAACACAGTAAATATGGTAAGAGTGTGTGTGTGTGTGTGTATATATATATATATATATATATATACACATACATGTAAGACGTTTTTGTTTTGGTGCTTGAGCACTGATTGTCTGCAGCAGCAAATACCAGTTTATAACTCTCGACTGTGCAAATGTCTTTGTCCTCTGTTTCTGGTCCTGTTTTTTAGATGCAGGATTATGTATGTTGTGTGACTCATATTGCTGTTCTCCTGTTCTGTCTGCAGTTTGCTCCTGCCTGATGCATTATGCTGTACTTGTTCTGTTTCATAATAAAGTGTTTACAAAATAGCTTAGTTAGTGTGTATGTAGAAAAATACATACTTAGTGCACCTGAACCTACCCTGCTGAGCCTGGTTTTGTAAGGCTTTTCCATTCATTCTAAGTAGTTCCTTCTGCTCTATGGCAGACGGGCTTTGGGCAGAGAATATTTAGTAAACAGATGAGGAAAAAGTGTGACCTTTAAACAATTCTTCCCCCTGCCCCCAATGATTTACTTTGAATGTGTTAGTAGCGTACTCAATTGCAACTTTCCAAACAGCACTACGTGTATGTGTATATATATATATATATACATATATATATATACACACACATACACGGCTAATACATTTTTAAGGTACTGGAGGCAGTGCTTCAGTTTTAACATGCTAGATTGAAATCTTGGAGTGCAGCCTTACAAACTTGAAGGAGGAGGCAGGGGAAACACGCAAAGCTTTGAGGAATATCTGCTGGGCTTGCTTTTAAGGCACCGCTACTAGATTTTCATGCTGAAGAATCTTGCGCTTCCAAGTATTGAAATAAATGCGAAGGAAGTCTTAGTTCAGAAGGGCTGTTAGTAATGCTAGTTTTAACAGTGGAATTTGAAGGACATATAATAAGCTTTTGGGGTCGGGACCTTCTTATTCTTTCGAAATGCTGGTGACCTGTTACAAGGGTGGGAAAGCCCTTTGCATCTAAGCCTCCATTTTCCATATGAACCAAGGACAGCCCTAGTATAAATAATACCACGTTGAAATTTGTTGGAGTCTTGCCCGCATACATGAGATCTGCTTTTTATGATCAAAAAGATCTATATAGCACCTTCAGAAATTTAGTTTCGAAACCTCACTTACTCATAGAGAGACAAAATATACTGTGAAGGAGAGAGAAACCCTAACCATGCAGTCCCATGCCTTTGCAGCTTTAAAATAAACATCAGAAATACGTGTTGGGTTTTAAATTTGAGAAATTGCTAACTTAAAATTGACACTCCGTGTAATTTAAAACAGATGTTGACGTTGCAAAAAAGCTGTGTCTGCTAAAGCAGGATTTGCTGTCCAAAAAGATAATTAAAATAACACTGAAAGATCTGCAGGGGGAAGGATGGCCCCAGATCAGGAAGGATGGAGCTGAGGCAGTGTGGCCACCTGGGCAGCGTACCTCTGAGGCTCCCCCAGTTCCTCCATCTCAGCTCTCTGTACTTCTGTTCAGGGCTCCACACAGGTTGTGTCTTGGCCTGTGCACGCTCCTCAAATGCAGTAGTATCCCCATTTTTCAATGTAAAAAAAAAAAAAAAAAAAAAGGCGCATATTGGGAGAGGCGAAAGTCTTTTTTCACATTTATGCAAAACACCAGATGTGTGTACATAAGTGGAAAGGTATGTGGGTGGGATCACGGGCTTATATTTGTAACTTGCAGACAAGATCATCAAAATGTGGGCCTGAGTAGCTTGCTGAAAGATGTACCCACGGCCTGTTTCTGTGGCGGGGTTAAACCTTTTAATCTTTTTGGGACAGAGGGAGGTCTCCTGACTCTTCTCCTGCTTCAGCCGCAGATTGATTTTCACATTACTTCTGTGCGGGCCTCGCTGCTTTCTTATTCATCAGAATGACAAAATCGTCATCGTGGATGTGGTTAAAAATACCTAAGTCTGTGTCCCTACTTAGGTACGCCTCAGCGTGTGGGCTCGGCCTCCTGTCAGTAAAACGCTCCTGGTACGAGCGCGGCTCTGCTGGGCTGGCAGATCTCCCCCAGGCCTACAGCCGAGCGTTTCTCTCAGTATAACCAGCTGTGGGCTGCGTGGCAGGCCGGGCTGGGGCAGGCGTGTTCATCTGTATGAAAATGTGTGTTTCCAGGCCAGGCAGCACGAGATAGCATCCCGGGGAGCTGTGTGTCCCCTTCCTCCTTCCCCCGCAGGGTGCCCCTTGTCCCTGCACCGCTTCGGTGGTGGCGGGCTGGTTAAAAACATGATTTCATGCTTGAAGGTCAGCTTTCGTCAAGCTGCGAAAGTAATCTTTTCTAGCCTCTAATGTATTTTGTGTCAGATAGGTGTATATGAACTGACAAGGAGAACTCAGATCTTAGTCAGCACGCAAGAATGTTTAATTAAAAAGAAAAGCCTTAGTAGGAGTTTCTGCTACTAATCTTGTTACCTTTGCATCTCCTTTGTGCCATCGTGCCCGGCGCAATTACTAAATATTGAGCAACAAACTTCCTCCCTTCCCAGCCATGCTCCCGGTTTTTAAACCTTTTGGTTCTTTTCAAGGCAGAGCATGAGACGGAGCAAAACTACTGAGAACTTTCATTTTTGCTTTTGCCCTAAATCGCTTGGTGTCTCTGGTTGTAACTCGTGTTGGACAAGCCTGTTTGCTCAGTCGGAGTTTCTGCGCTGCCAGATCTCAGCTGCAGGCATGCCCAAAGAGCTGAAGGACGAATGGATCTCCCTTTAAGTTCTCTTTTTACTTTCTGTGGACTATAACAGCAATAAAGGACTGACATGAGCAGCAGACTGCCTATGAATTATTGCTCTGAACAGTCCCTGGGTACCCTGTCAGGCAGAAGATATAGGTGTTTATTTCGTAAGAGGCGGTGTGGAAGCTCTAACACTGAAGGTCGTAAGCCGAGGTCTGGGTTTTGGGAAGGTACCATGTGAAAAAATGGTCGGGGAAAGACAAGGGAGAGGTTATTCAAGCAAGTTTCAAACACACTTAGCTAATTTGCTTTTACTTATTTCACAGCTGGAGTCTTAAAATAAAATAAAAAAAAAAAAAAAGTGTTTACTGTCCCCAACTTCAAACAGATTTAGAAACATGAGCAGTAAATACCATTCATCTTTTATAACCATTTAGTCCTGTCTTCTCTCAGCTAAAAAAAATGTGCAATTCTATATGAAAAAGGCCTTGAGCTGGTCAAAGAACAAGCTAAGATGATCCTGGTAAAAGTACAGTTTAACTGGGGATAACATTAGTTCAGCTTGGCAAAGCTGCTTTTTCTCCGTAGCTGCCAATTTTTGTTTTTTTTGTTTGTTTTTTTTTTTTAGCACAGTCACTTGTTATTTCACCAAACTAAACAAGCCATTGACCCCCAGGTAATCCCAGAGAGCAGAATTCCCCTGGCCATGTGAGTGGGGCCGGCTCCTGCAGAGAGAGGAGCGAGGAGCAGCGTTGCAGCAGCTCAGCCCTGAGTCCAATTCCCTGGGGCACACGCAGCCTGTGGCTTCAGAGATGGTGGAGGGAAAGGTGAAAGTTTATGGACAGATCAGGAAAACTAAGTGGTATCCCAGTAAATGAATCTTAGCAAAGGCAAGATCGCTTTCTCCAGTATTTCTGTTTCAGTTTTGCCAGAGGTGAAGAAGTCCTGGAAAAGTTAGATTTTGTGCAATTATTTTATATACACACACACACACACATATATAAATATATAATGTATATGTTATATATATTCTTTTATTATTATTATTTTCACTGTCTCATATTTATAACCTCTTGTCAGACATCTGGGTCTGTTCTTTGTTTAGATTCTGTGCAAGTGTCAGCTTGGTATACGGGCCTTCAAATAGATTTAAATTAGATTATTTTAAACTGAGACTTCAGAAGCTGTTAATGGAGTCATCTCTGTGATCAGGCAGTACTGCCATCATACAACAGGCAGCTTTCTGCCTGCCTCACTTAGACAGCTCAACCTTTTGTTTCTGCAGAGTAAATACTCCAGATTTTCTTTTCTCCCCTGTGTGAGCATTTGGTCTACTACCACACTGTTGTCTTTTGAGTAACTCCTTGGGTCTGATCCCAGAAGGTCCCAAATTTATAACTCTTACCTCTCTGGGAGCATGACTTAATCTAGTGTGTCACCTTCTTGTCAGGGTTGATCTTTCTTAGAGAACGGTAATGATGCCACAAAATGAGTCTTCGCTTAGTTAAATGCTTGATTAATTGCAGGTTTTTGGCTTCCAGGTTGGAAATTTGGTTATTTTCTTACTGGCTGGTGCTGACTAGGTATAGGTGCTAAGACACGGGGCGCTGTACTCATGAAAGTGAGCGTGTCCTGGCTAAAAAAAAGACGGCCCTTTCAAGCATGTCAATCTTAGTAACTTTGCTACATTATTTTTTCTTTTGATTTGCCAGTGCCATTTCAAAATTAAAATAAGCAATGCTTTGTTTCTTTGATTTTTATTTTATTTTATTTTTTCCACTGTAGAAATGTCCAGGCCCCCAAGCCCTAACATCTGCCCTGAGCTCGGTGCAGTGTGCACGGTGGCTGGGCGCTAAGCCTCTCGCAGAGGGCTTGGTGTTAACTGAGTCATTCCCTCCGTGTTTGCCTTCCGTCTGAGAGCTGCCAACACCTCCCACACTTTGCAAACTCTAATCTAATCTCGATTCCATATCTTGATTATTTGCTAAATTAGAATCTTTTAAAGAAAAAAAGGGGGTTGCTTATCAATAGCCCAGATATGGCAGAACCTACAAGTGCAGTGTACGCTTGGTTTGGTTTTGTTTTTTTTCTTTGAGGTGGACACCATTGTACTGATCATTTTAAAGTACAAATGTTTGGATCACTTGGTGGTGTTTCTTACAGAGATTTCACAGAGGACTTTAATCACTACTTAAATTAGAAATAAAATTCCCTGAAAGCAGAACGAGAAGAATCCAATCAAAACTGGATTCAGATGCCCCTGATGGTTGAGCATCAAGGAGAATAAATATCAGGCTGTTAATAGTTACTGAATTCCTGAGGAAGTTGCTTCCCTTGGTTCCTGCACTTCCTTGAGTTTACCTTCAAGCTCAGCTGAATTTGCATTTCTAAATCCCTTCTGTCTGGGAAATTGCACCCCAACTCGGAGCAGACTGTGTGGGGAATGGGGCGGCCGGTTATTATGGTCACAGAGGCATGGAGTTTTTACCTGTCCCTACACTGTGAAACTTAAGCAAGTGATCACTTCTGGAAGCGTAAGGGAGTTCTTACTCTGCTGTATACAACATCACAATGCACCTTTCTTGATTGAAGTCCTTGGCCCCATTTTCTGTGCAAGATGGTTCTTGCTAAGTACAACACCTCATTAGGCTGATGAACCTCCTGCCTTATATATGGGAATGGCCATTTCTTGTTCGACCTGAGTAATAACATCAAGGAGAGCGTTGGCTATTAGAGTGTATCACAATTTCATGCCACTGTGTCAAAATGCCTGGTTGTGCAGGGCTCTGACTGTAAAACAACTTAGAAGACACTTGCAGGAAGCATTTTGTCAGTGCACTCTCAGTTCCTCCCCTCCTACACCCCCCTTCTTCCTTTGCCCTGCCTTTTCTTCAGCTTCAAACTGCTGTTAGATTTTTCACATAACACTGCTGGTTTTTCCATATTTAGTCTTTATGAATTTTAAGCTTGGTGGTATTGATTTTTCTCACTGCACATTCTCTGAATTTCTGGCAGAAGTCCTGGAGGGGATTTGGGAGCGAAGAAGAAGAAAAAGAAACAGAAGAGAAAAAAGGAGAAACCAAATTCTGGAGGCACCAAATCAGATTCTGCATCTGACTCCCAGGAGATTAAAATTCAACAGCCTTCGAAAGTGAGAGCCTTGTTCTGTTTCAGTTTGTGCCTGCTTTCCGTTTTGATTTTAATTTGTGTGTTGTTTTTTTATAAAAAAGAGTGGGAAGTGCTACCTGTCTGAATTAGGCAACTCTGTCCTGAATAGAGGCAGAAGCAAGGTGTAAGGCCTGGTGTTGGCCAACTGTATGAAGTTAGCTGGAGAGTCCTTGTGACCACAGCATTCTGTAACAGCAGTCCGAATTCAGGCTTTGTAGAAGAGAGCCTTAATCTGCAGTGGTAATGCTTTTAAGTACAGTTTGTGTTTGACGAATCGCCTTTAGTTTAGCCACCACCTAGCATGGCTTAGTGCAGTTTCACTTGTACAGCATAATGCTATTTCGTGGCAAGCTTCAGCAGGAGGAGGGAAGGGCAAGTAAGGGCAACTGTATATTCTACACACACACGCACACAAAGTCTTCTTACACAAAATGCAGCAATATTTATCGTGGAGATACAGGCTGAAGAATCTTTTTGCCATCTGAAATGTCTCTGCTGTAAGTAAGAATGCAAATTGTGTAAGGGGATGTGCAACCTTTGTGGGCTTTGCATGCTTTTGACTACCAGGTTCTAACTAAATGGTGAGTAATATGCCCCGATGGCTTTTTTAACATACAGCTTTCATCTCCAGAGAAATCTGAGCCTGAGAACAGAGGCTTATAACATGGTGATAGGAAAGTTCATGGACCACTGAGCATGTCAAAGTAGTTATGTTTGCGTTATCAGATGAATGTGGAGAAAGTTATGCTGTTGTACCAGTAGCGCTATTAATCCTGCAGGGTTCGTCAAGTATATTGGTGTTACCAACTGATTTTCAGGATGCAGTTGTGTTCTGTTTTGACAACGTACTGATAGGTTTTGTGTTCTCCTTCTCGATCTTCCCTGTGTCACACCAAGTACTTTGAATGGGCACGCTTGCCCCAGGGGACATTTTGAAATAGGTGGAGATCTCACACGCTTTCTGCTCTCACTACGCATTTTGACGTTGTTTTTCTATAAAGTACAAAACATGAATTGCTAATGCAAGACTATTTGCAAGCAACAGCCAAGTAATATCACACTCTTTTATAGATGAAGTGAGGTCAGTTTTAATATTAAGATACAGTACATTTTTTGCAGTATCTTGCGAGTTCCTCGATTTCCTGCTGACCAAATCTGTTGTGACCTCTAACAGCGTTAAAAGGAAGCTACTTCACGTTTTAGATTTCATGTGCAAGACTTTACTTATCAGCACCTTGCAGTCTTGCACACCACTTCTCTACTGCATTTTGCAAGTGTGGAAATTTATCCTTGTTCTAAGTTGCATACTTAACAGTGGTGCACTGAGTGAGTATTTTAGTAGCACAAGAAGTTTAGCCAGTTTGTTAGCAATGTTAGTTTTCTCTTTTGCAGGCATACAAGGGATGCTTTTATTTAAGTCGTTCTCTCAGGCTGCAGGCAACTCAACTGTTTTACTGTCCTCACACGGCTTCTTCTTTTCTGTAGCTGCAAATACACCAGCACTTACTCGTTTCCCCCTTTGTTCAGTGTTCCAGGTGTACTCACTGATTAGTAGACAAGTTTCTCTGTCTTGGACAACTTTTCTGTTTTAGGTTTTTGTAGACGGCTGATCTGCATCGGTGTGTAGAAGTGTATTTATTTTCTGCACTACTCTAGTGATACTTAGACTTTTATTCCTTGTAGTATGTGAAGTGTGGGGAAAAAACATTTAGCATTTGCTTGCTGTTGGTTGAAAGGGAGGGTTGCAAAATATTTAAGAGGGAAGTGACATTGTACACTTTGTCTCAAGGAGAATATATACAGGATCACTCAGTGGGGCTTCTGAACTCACTGAAAAGGATTTTGAGGTGAGCTGGGTTTGTAAACTGGTGTCCCAGTCAGCAGATGAGAAAAACAGAACTGCGAGTCTCCTTTTCTTCTCACTCTCTCATTTGTGATACTGGACTTTTTTACACTGGCATGAGTGTAACTACGGCAATAAATGCTTGTTAGCATTGCGTGCTTCAGGTGACCTGTAGGACTCTTCACCGCCCATCTCAAAAGACCTTTTGAGCTCTCCCCTCATTACAAGCCTCAGGGACGTAGCTTTCCCACATTGGCACAAATAAACTTGCCAGATCTCTGATACTATGAGTGATATAGTCATAAAATAACTTTGCTTGGAAGGGACCTCAGGAGTTCTGTAGACCAACCTCCTGCTTAGATTAGATCTAATTAATTCAGGTTGCTCAGGACTAGATGGGTTTCTTAGGTCTCCAAGGCTGGACACTCCACAACCTCTGTGGGTCAGCTATTCCAGTGTTTGATCACTGTGGTTAAAATAATAAATCCTTACATCTAAACGGAACTTTCTCTTTTTTCAACTTCTGTCCTTCATTTCTTGTTCTATCATTATGCCACTTCAAAAAGACTTGGCTCAATCTTCTTTACATCCTCCCATTAGGCAGCAGTAAGATTCCTCCTGCTCCTTTAGCATTTGTTAGCCACCTTCTTCATGCTGATCAAAGCAGGGGCTCGAAGCTTCTCCTTTTGTGTTGTGTGCTGCAGCCCCTAAAACCATCTTGGTTGCCTTCCATTGAATTCACTCCACTATGTCAATAGTTTTCCTGTAATGGGGAACTCAGAGCTGTGTGGTGTGATCTGAGGGTGCCAGGTACAGGGGGAGACTTGCTACAACCAAGCATGCAGCTGGCTTTCTTTGCAGTGAGAGCAGGCTGTTGGCTCATGTTAGTTCTGCCCACAAGGGCCTCCCAAGTTCTCTTCAGCAAGGCTGTGTCCTGGCAAGTCAGTTCTGCCCTCTGCCATTGCAAGGGCTTTTTCCATTCCAGATGCAAGAATTTGCATTTGACTTTTTAAACTTCCTGAAGTTTCTCCCTTCAGCCCATCGAGGTTGCCTGGAGTGGCAGCTCTGGAGGCCAGCACATCAACCATTCTTCCCAGCCAGGTATGACCCGTGAGCTTGCAGAGAAAGCACTCTATACACATCATAAACAGGACTGACCCTTGAGTTCTCAAAGTTTTCTTAAAGTTGAGTGTGATATTTCTCTTTTTCCAGTCATAAGAAACATCCACCGCTTGCTTTAACCTTTCAAGCTTGATAGAGAGTGGCCTGGCAGTAACATCAGCTGGCTCACTCAGCACCCTCAAATGCATCCTGCCTGTTCTTAATGGCTTGTGCACATCCGTTTTGCTGAGCGGTCCTGAACTCTCCCTACTGCTGTGGGTAATGGGAGCCTCAAAGGCTCTGCCACAAGGCAAGCCTCAGCCCTGTGGCTTACAGGGGCTTCTTGTGCTGCGTGCATTTGTTCCCTTTACACTGGAATAAACAAAATCGTGCTTCTTTTTCATTCGTGTTGAAGTTCACATAGGTATTTCTTGCTTTCCACTGAAAGAGACCAAAACGGTTTCCTTTCAGCTTCTCAAGAAACTTTTCTTTAAAAAAAAAACAAACAACACTCTGCTAAGATCCAAGTTGCAGTGATATAGGTTACTTTTCTCAGGAAGCTGAGGAAAGGGGATTTCTGTAGATGTCCCTAACCATGTCATGTTCAGTACCAAAACATGAACTTTTACTTTACATATGCAAGTAAGATCCTTTTAGAACTTATATCTTTTTATATCTTCTGTTTTCTTCTTAATGTAGAAAAAATACTAGACTTAAAAAAAAATCCCAAACACAAAATAATTTGTAGTATGTCAAGAAAAATAAATCTTGCTGCCTTACTGATAAGAGTTCAGAATTTATCTAGCAGCATTAGAAGTGTTTGTATCAGGCCAGTGGGTAACAGGCAAATTGATTATTAGTTGAGAGAAGTATTCAATGTCACTATAACTTGGATTTTAGCATAGAGTGTATGGAGCGTTTTCTTTATGCTACAGTAGGACTGATCTAGTTTGTTGAACTACTTGAAAGCGTGTAAATATGTTAGTTCACAACTACTCACTGATGGATGGTTAAAGCACACTCATGTCAAGTTCAGCCATACTTAAGTCAGTGAAAGAAATTGCATTATGTTTAGAGAGTACAAGTAGTTATTAAAATTAGAAAATGATGGCCTGCTTGAGCTACAGGCAGGGAGTCACTCTGTCTGTGACTGAGGGCACTGAAGGCAGCTGCCCATCCAAATGAAGCTTTAATGTCATTATTACATGCGGTTTATGGTGGATTTTCAACACACAAATCCTAGATAGAAAGTGAAATACTGAAGCAGTGATCCGTTGATACTCAGCAAAAAAAAATAAACAAAAAATCTGGCTTGAAATCTCTGTCCAGAAATACTTAACATTTTCCAATCCATTTGAGACTATTCCATCAAATATATTTATTGCACTGCAAAGTCTGGGAAAGCCTGAGCATAAGCATGCTGTTAGTATGCCTCAGAACAGGACTTACCACTTGGGAGATGATTTTTAAATGAGTGACAGGGAAGGATGAAGAGAGTGAGAGAGAAATAACCCTTACATTTAGAAGTCTATTACCATGATTCCTCTGCAATTTCATATGCAGGTGAAATTCTCATTCCAGTTGTACTGAGTCAGAATGTTCAAAAGTGAGGATTTAGGAGCTTAGTTCAGAAACGTTTAGCCTGAGGTTTTATGTTTTTCAGATAACTTCTCCAGAAAGATTATTCTACCTTTAAATAGAAGGTTGGTTTATTTTAAGTCTGCTTCCATAAGCTAAAGTCTTTCGCTGTGAGTGTTGGCGTGGTTGGTGTTAATGGGAAGATGGCTAATTCTTATATATTGTACAATACAGTGTTCTACCCAGGATAAAATTTGGGAGTTTATAGAAGGTATATGCTATATAACTAGGGTTAAAAAGTGGATATTTGCAGCAACATCATAACCAAAACATTGAGCCGTACTGAATTTCAGTAATGTTTTATAGTGTATGTATAAAGGACAACTTCAAATATCTGTGTAGTGTTTTAAGATTGTTAGATACCTAAGCTGATCTGCTTTATGCTGTTTATTCTATTTTACCATTGGGAGGGGAATATAAAAACTATTTTGTTATTATACTGCTACCCTGCCTTAATGCTGCAGTATTTGTATTATAAACACCAAAGTTTGATGGTTAAACGCAAATACCACTGAAAGCTATTAAGGATTTTGTGAAGCTGCCCGTCTGTTTCCCACGTATCCTTCTGTCCTGCCACTGAAGATTATACTGAAGCTAACTGTGATGAGAAAAGTATGTGAAAGAATACGTAAAAATAAACTAAATGAACACATTTGTACAGCTTGTTCAAAATAAACATATCCAATAAGCTTCCTCTTCTGTTTGTCTCTGTGCAGAATCCAGCCATTCCAATGCAGAAACTTCAAGACATCCAGAGAGCGATGGAGCTGCTCTCTGCATGCCAAGGTCCAGCAAAGAACATTGATGAGGCTACCAAACGTAAATACCAGTTTTGGGATACGCAACCTGTACCTAAACTTAGTAAGTTGAACGGGGCCTGGGCATGTGATCATACTGATCACTAACAGAACCTGTACCAGTTGTGTGGCACCTTCTCTAAAATGGGTATTAAGTTGAACTGCATGTAGTAGAGTTCCTTAATTTTTTGTGTTGCTTATATGGGATTCCTCATTTCTCTAGGAAAGTGCTTGCCCCTAAAGAAATACGCAACATAGCACAGTGTTAATGAATCTTACTCTGATGTTCTCTATTAAAATGGGAAATGCTGTTGCAGTAGCATTCCTTTATATGTTTTAGGTCTGAACTCTCAAACAACAGAACATGGAAGTCTTTTCAATTTCAGGGAAGATTAAAAAAAAAAAAAAAAAAAAAAAAAACACAAAAAAAAAAACCACAGTCAAGTGGTGATGGGAGTAAACTTTGATAATTCTCTGATATTTTTTTTCTATAGACAGATTTGTTGTCACAGAGATGGTGACTCTCCTGATGCAGGTTACAGTTTTCCTGCAGCTTTAAGTGGATAATGACACCTTTCTCATGCATGTACACTTCTGTTTTTTGTTCACTTGTTTCTTCCACAATGTACACTAGAGTACCTTGAAGGCATACGTTCTGCATCCCTTCTTTGTTCTTGGTGCCAAGTGAGGAGGTGATGTGACCTCTCCTTGCCTTCAGGTTTGGAAAAATTTTGTCAGATTACTTCTTCTGTACTGATCCGATCCCCTGTTTACACACAGTGGGTAAATTTTAGTCTGTACTGGAGAAGACAGCTGCTGACTCTCTTGTTTCTTCCAATTTTCCTCACCACCTTCTTCCCTCTTCGCTATCTTTAAGTTAAGCTGTTCTAGCTCTGCAGTGCCCAACCCCCTGAGTCTGGGGACCCACAAATAAAACAGTCTCAGCACAGAAGCTGTCAGCCACAGAACAGCTGTCTGTTCTGTTCTGAAGGTTTGTCTCCATGGCATTGGGGACTGGTGTAGAATAAGCAAAAATAAGGTAAACTATAAAGCACAGGAGCACTCTGTTCTGTATTTCACAGGCAGCAGTTCAAATTAATCCATTTCTGTAGCTTAATCCACAGTGATCATATTTCCCCTGACTTCCTTGCACGGAGAAGTCCAGAGCAGCATCCCTGCTGCAGTGCTTTCCACTGGATTGAACTGACCTGCCCCGGTTCTTCTCTAGACAAACATCTAATCAAACTAATGATAGTAATTGTGACAGTAGTCTTGCCTTGGTATACATGTAAGAGCCTAGCCAAATAAAGTTGATGAATAAATCAAGAAATATTCCTACCATAACTAAACTTTTTTCAGAGCCAGTTCAAGTGTGTGCACAGCGTTTCCAGGGCTTCAGTTCAGGGTGGTCATTATATCCTGAAGCAGCTGTCTAGAGATGAGTCTGTCCCTTGCCAGCCTAAAAGGACCAAGAGATTGGCTCTAAAAATGGTTGGTTAGGGCTCTTCAGTAGAAATACACTTTGCTGAAGTTGGCTGTCAGAGGTTCTGTTCAGCGATCTTTCTGAATCACTTCTTGATTTTTTTTGTTGAATCTTCCTTATTTTTTATTTTTTTTAGCTTTAGCTGCTTAATGAGCAGAATGAGAAGTCTTCACTATCTGACATGCTGGATATGATCAGGTGGAAAAAAAACGTTGATTCAGAAAGTAGCCATAGGGATCTTTGCATTCAGAATCGGTCTGCCTTACAGTTAAGGTTGTTAGCAATAGATCCTTTGGTATATAATACTAGGTCAAGTCTGCCATGTAGTGGCAGCAGCATTTAGGTGGTTGATACTTCCAGAGTTTGTGTAATGATGGCCTTCCAAACTGGACATCACCTGGGAGAAGTATGTGCTGTGTTTGGCAGGTGCTGCTCCAAAGAAGAGGAGCAGTTTCTGTTCACAGCAAGCTGTTACGTACTGAATCACTAGAACTGTAAATTAAGGGAAGGGGAGAAAGCAGATTTTCATGTACAATTTCAGGAATAAATTTAATATTTCTCCAGCATCTCTTAAAAGCCCTGCCTTTGCTGTGTTTCTGCTCCTGAGTAGTAGTACTGCTGAGCTCAGGTCTATTCAAGTCAGCTGAAAACAGGATCCAAGCCATAGTTTGTTGGCTGTCAGTACAACACATTTCTCCTGATAAGACCTGGGATTTCATAGCTGGTTAAGTGCTGTGCATGTGCTGATAAATTGGTGCCTTGTGTTATGAAATACTGGCCATCAGTTGAGGTAGAGTAGTTCTGTGCTTGGCTATAGGTATTCTGATGAAGTAGTAGTTAGTCTGAATGCAATCTGTAAGAACTGAGAAGTAGCATAAGCTAATAATGTGATTTTTTTAAGCATTTCTAAAAGCCTCATGTTCCTGTCACGTAATTCTGAGAAAAAATATGATGCGAGTTAAATGCAGTTTTTGAGAACTAATTGGAAAGCTAGCAGTGTAACTGTTTGTTGTTTCTTTCTTTGTTTCTTTTTCTCCCCTCTTGCTTTCTTCCTTCCTGAAAAGACGAAGTTATAACTTCACATGGTGCAATTGAACCAGATAAGGACAATGTCCGTCTAGAGCCATATTCTTTGCCACAGGGTTTTATGTGGGACACGTTGGATCTTAGCAATGCCGAAGTTGTAAGTATCACAGTTTTATATGTACCTTAAAATCACTGAAGTATATTCTCACTGGTGTGTGTGGATAAATCTTTGATTTTTTTTCTTCCTACGTGTGTTTTCAGCTAAAGGAATTATACACACTGTTAAATGAGAATTACGTAGAAGATGATGATAATATGTTTAGGTTTGATTATTCACCTGAATTTCTTCTGTGGTGAGTAGAAAGTTCCACATTCTGTTCTGGCTGGAGTGCAAAGAAGATTGTTTTTATTACATCTTCTTAGGCAGTAATTTGTAATTATTTCTGTCATCAATTCTAGGGCACTACGTCCTCCGGGCTGGTTACCCCAATGGCACTGTGGTGTTAGAGTGTCTTCAAACAAAAAACTGGTAGGATTCATAAGTGCCATCCCTGCAAATATTCGTATTTATGACAGGTAAAATGCACCATTACTTTTTTATTTGTAAAAGAGTAACACCATGAAACAAATCTTAAAATGGCATCCATTGCCGTGGAGAACTTGTAGAGAGAAAGAGGCTCAGTGACCGTAGAGAGAAAGAAAAATCCTTTGCATATAGCAGAGATTTTTAAATGGGGTTGTGGAGTCTTTTTTTGGTTTGTTTGCTTGTTTTCAAAAAGTTTGTGGCATCCTTACAGTGAAAACCAGCAATAAATATTTAAGGAATTTTCTTACTGATGGATGATACAGATGAATTGTCTATGCCGTTTTATTTATTTAAAGGGTACCTAGTCAGATGACCTTCCTTGGCCAGATAGTCATATGCTGACAATCATGAAGTATTATGATACCACTTAGCATGTTCTTGGATGTCTTTCAGGATCTTAAAGTTGGTAATGGGTTAAGTCTTGATAAAGCCCTGAAAGTGGAGTATCACGAACACCTTAGATGCTGCTTGTGTATTGTACAGTTTGCCACCAATGTCACACTATCGTAGATTAGTATTAGCTGCAGATGTAGTTTGTCACAGGCTGATATATTTTTACCTCAGATCCTTCTGTTACAACATGGAAATCTTAAAGTATGCATTTAAAAATATGCAATATGCAGGGGCAGTTGTTTGTTACTGTTTTTTTTTGTTGTTTTTTTTTGTTTTTCACTACTTAATCTCTTTTTTAGTGTGAAGAAAATGGTAGAAATCAATTTTCTGTGTGTCCATAAGAAACTGAGATCTAAACGGGTAGCACCTGTACTGATTCGGGAAATAACCAGAAGAGTAAACCTGGAAGGAATTTTTCAGGCTGTTTACACTGCTGGAGTGGTACTCCCCAAACCTGTGGCTACTTGCAGGTAACCTAGGTGATGTTCATAATAATACTGTAGCAGTCATTTTAATGAGCATTTTGTGTAATTGGCTGTTATGGTTTCACACCAGTTGGTAGCTCAGCTCCGCCATACTACCTTCTTGTCCCTCCTCCTCAAAAGGACAGGGGGAGAAAATATAATTTAAAAAGCTTGTGGGTTGAAATAAGGACAGGGAGATCACTCGCCAATTATTGTTGTGGGCAAAAGACTTAGCACAAGGGAGATTAATGTAATTTATTGCCTACTGATAGCAGACTAGAACAGTGAGAACTAAAAGCAAACTCAAAACACCTTTTCCTCCACCCACCCTCCTTTCTCCACGGGCTGCAGCTCCAGCCCGGGGCCTGCTCCTGCGGGGGCTCTCCGTGGGCCGCAGACTCCTCCAGGCCACATCCACCTGCTCCACTGTGGGCTCCTCCACGGGCTGCAGCATGGAGATCTGCTCCATGTGGGACCCATGGGCTGCAGGGGGACAGCCTGCTCCACCAGGGGCCTCTCCACAGGCTGCAGGGGAACTGCTGCTGCATGCGTGGAGCACCTCCTGCCCTCCTCCTGCACTGGCCTTGGGGGCTGCAGGGCTGCTTCTCACTTCTCATTCTCCCAGCTGCTGTTGTGCAGAAGTTTTTTTTTTTCCCTTTCTTAAATCTGCTCTCACAGAGGTGCAACCAACATTGCTCACTGGCTCAGCTTTAGCCAGTGGCAGGTCCCTTTTGGAGCTCTGGCTCTTACCTAGCATGTGGCAGCTTCTGGGCTCCTCTCATAAAGGCCACCACTGCAGCTCCTCAGTACCAAAACCTTGCCACATAAACCACTTACAAGAGCATAATGTTAAAAGAAATAGAATGCTGTGGAGTTGAATCTAACCTAAAAGCCCAAGTGCATATGAGGTTTTCTTGGCTTCTTTTTTTTTCCCCTCAGTGCCTTGGATAAAACAACTTCTCAGGCTAAAATCTAATTTTGGGTTTGTTTATTGTACCTCAAATAGATTAATAGATACCTCTGTTGACCTTCTGGTGGAAGCCGTGCTAGCAATGGCAGCATTGTATACCTGTGTTTTTCAAGTGGCCTGCTTCCCAGCTGGGACACTTCCCTGTTGACCTGGTTGCTTGCCAAAGATGGCAGAGGGTTTCTGGGAATTGTATGATTTTCTTTTTTGAAGTGCTTTCATCTTTCCTGAAGAAAGGAGGACTTGATCGGCATGTGATAAAGATGGGAAAACTATCGTGTGGAAAACGTTGTATGTAACAACCTATAAGTTCATTTGCTTGGAGTGGATTTTATTTGTGCAGGGAGAAGTTCAGTTTCAACAGTATCCTTCTGAAAACAGAGTGCTCATTTATGAGCCTTTTGATTTGAAATCATTTATGAGCCGTTTGATTTGAAATTGTGTTTGTATGTAGCGACACCAAAGATCCTACAGCTTTCTGTAGGTAAAGACAGACAAAAAGCCATGCTGTGCTACAGTAACCAGGGATGTGCTGTTGCACAATGATCTCCTAGAAGAGGCCCTTCAACAAACTACTTAGAGACACGAGCAGAGAGGGACCTGTCTGTTAAGAAAATAAATTTTGTGATGTAAGTACGGTGAGATTGTCAGGGCTGTGGCAGGTACTGAAATGTTTCACCTTGTTCTTACTTGTTCCATAATTTGCTTGGATCCAAAATACAGTGACTGTAGGCTTGTTTAGAAGCTATTGCTTACATGTAGCTTTCCGTTTTTTAGTTTGTTTTGTTTTTGGTGGGGTTTGTTTTTTTATTGGCTCAAGCCTCTTACAGGCATCGGTACAGGCTTGCTAGGAAACAAATCTGGAGGGGAGGAGCAGTGCAAGAAATTAAAGAAATGAATACAAGTAAATCTGTACTTAAAACACTACCTAATCTCATGAATTTTATTTGCAGGTATTGGCATCGATCACTGAACCCCAGAAAATTGGTGGAGGTGAAATTTTCACATTTGAGTAGAAACATGACTCTACAAAGAACAATGAAGCTCTACAGACTTCCTGATGTAAGCAGTATATCTTCTAGAGAATCCCCACAGTTATTGTGAGGCTCGAAATAACCTTCCATCTGTTTCTGACAGCGCAGGCTTTGGTGTGGAAAGGCAGGCAGTGCATGCAGGGCATAGGAAAATACGGTCTTTTTCACCAACCAGAAATAAGGGCCACACTAGACAGAAGAGACTATTGCTGGAAGCGTAGGTTTGTGTGTAGAGAAAATATAAATGGCTCAAAAGCCTTTAGAAAAGTAAATAAATTCAGAAACCTTGACTTCATTAATGTGTGAGATCGAGTTGAAGATGCGTATGATTATTCTAGGTTTGATTAATCTGACAGAAAATTACTGGAGTAGAAAATTAACAGCTCATGGCTTAAAATTCTTGGAGAAGTCTGTTCAAAAGTTGATTGAGTACAGTGGAATTGGTTTATTTTTTTGTTTGTTTGTTTTTCTTCAAGCTTTTTCTTGTATGTCAGAGAACATTGTTCTTCTGCAATGAGTAGGCTCAGCAAAAGCTGCCTCAGAATGTTGTGTACTGTTATTTGCATGGTCTGGCCAAAAAAAAACGTTCTGGCATCGCAAGGTTAGTTAAAAATATTTTCCCATATTTTCAGCTAATAGCAAGGCTGGCAAAAAGCCTTAGGATGCATTTCCTTGACAGGGCAAGTCACTGTAAGTAGTCTGAGATGCACTATCAAAAAATCTCATTGCTGTAACAGGCTATAGAAGGCAGTCTAAGCTATATGATTGAAAGCAATTTCTTTGCTTGCAAAAGCTACCTTTCTCTTTGGAGGGATTGCAGGCAGTCCTTTGGACCAGTGCCAGATCAGTAAACCTTTTTATGTAAGCAAACCTTCCCTTTGGGATAAAAAAAAATACATTTTTTAAAATAATATACTTTGTAATGATTTATCTGACTTTGGGGAATTATTTCTGTTGGTTATACTTAACAACAGTGCCTGCAGCATCACGTTACCGGCACATCTGAGTAACATGCTAAGCACTCCTCAGTGTAAAGCCCCTGCCATGTCTTCATCTCAACTTCTGCTGCCAGTGAGACTTGTTTCCTGTGCTGCCTGCATGCTCCCTGTGTCTGCACATACGGCTTCTCCCTTGTGTGCAAGGCAGCAGTTTTCAGAGCTTAAGCGTTAATAACCAAATTAATTAGGTTTTAATCTTGGAGAGCTAAATATAGGTTTCATCAAATCTGAAGACATTTTAAGAAGTCCAGTGGACAACTTCAAATAGAGGTTTCACCGGCAAGTCCAGTACTGTTTCTCATGGAAACAGTGCAGGACAAGAATAGTCGAAAGAATAGGATAAGGATCTTACGTACGGAACAAAAAAATGTAACTACAGGGAGTCATTAGAAACCAGAGCAGCTGTACCTTGATCATCTCCCTTTAGTGTAAAACCCAAATTGGAACAGAGTAACAAATTATGGAAATCTAAGAATGCACCATCTTATTCAGAAAATACAGTACTTATAGAGATGTCCAAATAGATAATAGATGCTCCGTTGTTCATTTACTTTTAGATGGGCCATGGGAGATTCTCCATGGAAAATAAAGATACAGTATTTTTGTTAATGTCTTCTGTTTAGTTTTTGTGCTGTAAATTTTTCAAATTTCTTTTTCTGTGGAAAGGTTTGAGTGCTTTTGTGAATATCTATCCTCAGTCTGAGGCTGTTATCAGTTATGTTAAACAAACTGGTTCGTTCAGGCCAAACTGTCCTAAAACAAAAGCTTTTTGAGTTCTTTACCGCCACCTTAATGTCCCTCAGCACCAAACACTGTTTCTGGCATTCTGACCTCTTTTCTTAGAGTCCTTGGAATATCATTGCCACTGGGAGCTCATCTCCCTTTAAGAGGAATTAATCAATCCTAATCATGCAAACAGTATGAACTGAATAGGTTTTCAGAAATGATAAAGGAAATGCAGTAATTATGTTAGTAAGATATCACCCTCACTGAAGGCAGTGTTTGTGTATGTATCTATAGATAAATTAGTTTAAAAAAAATGTTGGGAGGGTTTAAGTGTTTAATCTCTTGAGCAGTGAGGGGGTATAAAATTTGGATGGGTTTAGAATGAGGGCAGGAACATGGATGGTGTCTTTGTATGGCTTTTCTTGACTGAGCTCCAGAGCTAGGACACTCATGTGGGTCCGTGCCCTGTGCAGCTTGGTGTGTGGAGTGGAGAAACAAAATTTAGCCCAGTTCTGTGCACTCTTCTTCCCTTCTGGAACTAGAAATAATCATTTAGGTGTGGCCATTCTGAGTGTTGTGGGGAAATAAAGATGTTCCAGCCCAGCTGCTTTTCCTCCCTTTGTGCTCCTGTATATAGCTTTAGAAGAGAGAGGAAGGTTCAAAGGGAACAAATTAATGTTTCATATTGCCATTCCTAGGGAGGTTATGAACAAAATACAGCATAGGAAGAGCCATGCAGACAAATCAAGTGAATACCCTTAAGGATTCAGGGCATTTAAAATACTAGAAGATGTGCTGTTGTGGGGACAAACCATAGGCTGTGCAGGAAAGGAGGAAGATTAGACCCAGCACACGGAGGTGGCAAAATGTGCCTTGATTTTTCATCTGGCTGCTGAATTCCAGAGTGTGTGAATAAAGACCTCCTCCAGAATAAATCCCTGGGAGGAAAGAATAATCAGTTACACTAATTTCAGGCTTCCAGTAATCAAGCCACTACCTGGCTGCTCTTGCAATTGACTTTGCTGTGATTAATGTGGTACATGCCCAAGTATGTGGCTCAGATGAAGCAGGATAAATGAGCTCTGAAAGAGAATGAGCATTCTCTCCCTCCAAGGAAATACTCAGGAAAACTAATAAAAATCGGGGAGAAAATTTTAGTCACCTCTGTTTAAACCTTTACTTCATAGGATTGGAAAGCTTTTTTTTTTTTCCTCCCTCTTCGAATGTTTACAGTCAAGAGAAGTGCAGTATTTGCTGAAGTATGGTAACTTTTTTTTAACTTCAGAAAGCTTGAAGTTACAAGGAGTTTTCTTGTTAACATAACAGCAGTTGAGCCTGTATAGAAACTTGAGTTGGCAGAAGTGAGTTTACAAGCACTAAAAATAGGTGGAGTTTTGTGTTAAAAGTTTTCTAATTAAACATTATCAGTTGACTTTGGTTTATAGCTTGACTAATTTTTGTAAACTTGAATTAGAGCTGTTCTTGTCTTCAGCTTAGCTTCTGACATGGAAGTTGCTTTATGTTTTGTTTCTGTATCTGGGCTCTAGGTAGCTTAGAAGAAGATAAGAAATGAAGACTGACCTGAAAAAAAAAAAAGAAATACAAAATGTATGAAGTCTAGGCTGTTGGCAGTAGCATCTCCTTCTCTGGAGAAATGAAGTTGTTTCAATAATGGAATATAAAGATTGAAGTGCCCCAGACTGTCTCAATAATTAGAAGAGGGGGAATTCTGATTGAAAGCAGTTTTGTAAAATAGCGTAATGAATTAGGTGGCTGGGGTAAAGTAGGCTAATAATGAATGCATTATAGCAAGTGGAATGACTCTGCAACCTATTTCCAGCCCTTGCTGTGTGTGCAATTTTCCTTTCGACATCTTAACGTTTATTTTTCTTTGTTACAATAAGGCTACAAAGACTTCAGGTTTGAGACCAATGGAACAAAAAGATACTAAAGCAGTACAAGAATTAATCAACACTTACTTGAAGCAGTTTAATCTTGCTCCTGTGATGGATGAGGAAGAGGTGGCCCACTGGTTCCTGCCTCGGGATCATATTATTGACACTTTTGTAGTAGAGGTAAAGCACTCTCTAACTACCTCAGGAATGTAAACACGAATGCCATTTGTAAAAGTTCACGTCAGCATCAAGTTTATGAAATGCAGACAGAATGAAAAACATGCTGTAGTTAGGATTTGCTGTCATGATTCCAAATTTGTTCTTTGTATTGCATTCTCGTTGTGAGGAAATGCTTGTTTGGACGTGACAAAAGAGCAGCTCTCTTATAACAGGATATTTTATAGAAGAATTTTCAAATCTCAAAATATCACTGTCTTACAAGGTTCTTTGCTGTAATATTTCAATGTTTTAAAAACAATCTTCCCACACCATGCCCCCTGCTCTCCTCTGCTTCTCTGGAGATGTGACATGGTAGTAAGTAACGGTCTTCAAATCTGCTTTTTTTAAAAAAAAATAAAAATAAAAAATAAAAAATTACGACTGATGAAAGGATTTGGTTTGAATTCAGTATCATTCCCTAAGCTGATGGATAGGTTTCTGCAGTATTCTTTAAAACCATTTTTAGGGGCACCTGCTAATTTGTGGTAGTTGTGTGGATTTTGTTGTGTGTTTTTTTTTTTTTTTCTTATAGTCTGATTCAGTAAAATATTTTTTCCTACTTACTCTGCAGTGAATCTAATGTTCAATGGACTCTTCCATAATGCCTCTCTCCTTCCCACCTCCCCTTCTTTTCCCCAGCTGGAAAAAGAAAGTTGGGGTTGGTTTTTGTCTTCTGTGAATTCAGGGCCAGAAACCTACAGAAGAGTCTACAAGCAGCAGAATTGGCCTGAGGGATGAGACAGTTTCTTCAGTTTCTTCAATTCTTAGCCAGCATTACCTCTTATTCTGTAATAGTTATGGCGTGCAAAACTGTGCTGCATTTATTACTTACTTTCTCTAGAACCTCTGTGGTAGCCTAACCAATAACTGAGTGGTTATTTATTAATTGGCTTTTTCTTTTGTAGGGCTCAAATGGTATTTTAACAGACTTCCTGAGTTTCTACACGTTACCTTCAACAGTGATGCACCATCCTGTTCATAAAAGCCTGAAAGCTGCCTATTCCTTTTACAATATTCATACAGAGACCCCCCTCTTGGACTTAATGAATGATGCACTCATAATAGCTAAGTTGGTAAGTATTTTTTTCTTCTACTTCTAAGAATGCTTTCATGAAAGAAGTAATGGCAAGGTAAGAACTGACAGTAATTTATACATTCCATTGCGTTCTGTTTTGTTTTACTGTCTACAGCACAGTGTATTTGATGAGACTTCAATACAATATATATTGAAATATAAGATGCTGCATTTGGTTTTCCTCTTTACTTTGAGCGATGTTAGTGAATGACAAGTGCATGAAGATGAAAACATTTGTAATAGCTTGAACTGTTCATATATCCAACAGCACACTGGCAACCTTATTCACTCAGTATCAGAAGAATGGAAAGTATCACTAAAATATTTTCCCTTTGAGTTAATAAGTTCTATTAAAAATATTGAATATTAAATATTTTAATATTAAAAATATTTAAAAACTGTCTTGTTACTAACTGCTGCCTGTGAAGGTACGTAGACAACATCACGTTTTAATTTTTAAGCAGTGCTTTGTGTGTGGAATAACACTGAGACGTGATTTAGTTAAATGGAAGGGAAGAGACTGTAAGAGTCCTTGCATAGGAATTGTAAGGGTTTAGGCTTTCATGGGGGTGTGGTACAACACCGTGGCAATATATTCTGTGGTGGAGAGCTGTGCAGGTGTTGCACATCCCAGCACTACCTCCCTGTCCCACAGGAGAGGGGTGAGCAAGATGCTGGGTGGGTGTTTGGCTTTTGGCTGGGCTTAACCTGCCATAAACCATTCTACACTGTTATATCCAAAGAATGTATTTGGAGGGTAGAAATCCAACTCAGTAAATTGTTTCCAAGTTGCATGTCAGTTGAATGTTGATGTTTTATTTTCTTATTACAGTATATAAAACTAGCTTAGAACCAAGTCTGGTAAAATCTTAGTAATTACTGGGCAAAATGCCTGACCTCCTAAGTGAAATCCCAAATTTGGAGCTATGCACGTACATTCCATGTGTACTGCATGGGGAGAGTGGTATGATGATCCCCTCCAAACCCTGTTTTGTGGTCCAAGCTGACACTGTTTCAAGGTGTAGGACAGTTCACTTTTGGAGTGCTCTACTGGCAGAGGGGTGCAGCAAGAACCTTTGAACAGCAACTTCTTACACCTCCCAGAAAAGAGTAACCTGAGCCTAACGTGTTGATGTTTAGATAGTGAGTTAAAGCTACGTCAGGGAAATTTAACATTTATTTGAATTTCCAGTGCTTAATTGCAAAGCTTCATCAGTGTGTCTATACATACAGTATATCTGTGTTCTCCCCTGCTTCTCTTCTTCTCTGCTCACCTTGTCTTGTTTCTGCATGTTTTTCACAGCACATTTAACTTAGCGTAGCTTCATCTGTGCACAGAATGATCTTTGTGTAAGGAACCTTACTAAATTCACTGTTTATATTTGTGACTTTTTCTTTTAAATAATCCTAAACTGATGAAAACCCCCTTTTTGTAACACAGGGTGCTTATTGGAAAAAAAAAGTGTAATTTTTATACTGAGCAAAGAATGGTCTTGTGCTTAAGTAACTAAGCATTACTGTTTTGTAACTCTGCTATTTTTGTGTTAGAATATAGAAAGTCCTCCTGGTGCTCTGCTTTCATGCTGCTAAGACTCCAGGTTCCTAGGTCAGCCTGCCTTGCAGTTAATTGCAAGTAAATGGACTGTTTTATCCAGCCTCCAGGCAAATTCAGCTGTTCATACATGATGCTTGTCACTGTGATGGCTTAACTGGCCTTATTTTTAAGTTGCTTATGAAGAGTTCAGAGTAAGTTGGGATTCAATGTGTTTGTGTTGCAGCATAGTACGCTGTGCTACAACTAAATCAGCAATGTTGCTGCACGCAGAGAAGAGCAAACTGGCTCATTCAGAGTAGTGAATTTGGGAGGTAGAGGAAGAGAAGTTGGCAGAGAGTGCATGAATAAGGGAGGGAGCGTGACGTGTCAGATTTGATTTCTAAAGGAAATACCACTTCAGAAAAGGATTAAGGTACAAAAATGTTTATCAATAACAAGTACAAATGACTGAAAGCCAGCAAAAGCTGTACTTACACAGCCTCATCTGGAGTAGGCCATGTGTGTCAAAGCCCTGTATGTCACAGGGTGTAAAAAATGCGTGTCCAGAAAAATAAAACAAAGGGGGGTGTTTGAGGGACTCCTCAGACCTTTTACCTTGGGATACTTTCTTTGTATGTATATCTAATTAAATGGAAAGATTTATTCCTGTATATTTTTTCTTTTCCACTTAATTAGATTAGTCCCTTGGATATCATTATGCCTCTATGGAAAGTATTATTTGTGTGTCATTTGAAACTTCGTAAGTAAAATTTTAAAAATGTTTTGCTATTGCCAGAAAGGATTTGATGTGTTCAATGCACTAGACTTAATGGAAAACAAAACATTCCTGGAAAAACTCAAGTTTGGGATTGGAGATGGAAATTTGCAGTATTATTTGTACAACTGGAGGTGTCCTGGCATGGAATCTGAAAAGGTAAGGGACTCTTAAAAAAAAGTTTCTGAACTGTGTTAGGTATAATAATGCTTTCATCTATCCTGGCCAAAATGGGAGGAGTTTAAATTTTTTTCTTCATTTTTTTTAAAGATGTGTTTAAGATCCGTGATTCAGGTGCAGAAAACCAGAAAATAATGTTTAGATTTATTGCTGTACTTGAACTAAAAAACTGCATTTTCCTTCTTCCTTTAGGTTGGTCTTGTATTACAATGAGGACACGTGTTTCTAGAACTCTGAGGTTGTCATTTGCGTTAATTTGATCTCCATAACTCTTGGAATGATACTGTTCAAGAGGAGTAAAAGCACAACGTCAGTGATACTGAATAGTCCATTAAACCTGAGCAATGAAGAAATCCACATGTGACCAAATTTATGCATTTTCAGATAAATCAGAAGGTCCTTGAAACTCTTTTTATTGTCCATGAAAAGAATAAAAGCACATTCATTTAAGTTTCAAAGCTTAGCTTGCACCTTGATGAGAAGAAGGTATTTTTTTTCCACTCTGTAGAAAAGACTGTTTTGTACAAACTGAACTTCAGTGGTGGATTAGGGTACAAAAATATTTGCTATTATGTGGATGAACTGCTGCATTTCTATTTATTAAGTGGTGGTGTATGTTTGTCAGTGTAACAGAATGAAGGATACAAACTTGAGTATCTTTGCTATATTTACTTCACGTGGATATCATCATTTGGGGAAAAATCATGAAGTTATGATGCGTTTGTAGCTCTATGAAAGTCCTGGATGTTTTTTGTAACTGGAGCAGTATGACAATGTACTGGTTTAACTAGTGCATTTGTTTCTCCATAAGCAACGCTGCCAAATCAATAAAAATACAGATTTGTACTTTGATCTTCAATAGATCAGTGGATTGATTTAACAGTATCGCACTGTTCAGTGCAGGTGTTATCTATGTTGCCGGAATGTTAATACATTACTGTACTTGATTTACAGTTGTGGCACAAAACCTTAGTTTTTCCTCAGTAGAGTACCATCAGCCTGTGTGTAAAACTAAGAATTTTAGTAGTGCTATCAGGATATTTATAGTTTGAATGTTTTCGATGCTTCTGCAAAATTGCACATATTCCTTTGTCTACTTTGATTTCCTATGAAGTCTGTAATTCTAATGAAAAAGTATCTTGTGTAAATACGTATTCATAAATTGTTCCTGGTAGTGTTTTTATCCTGACTTTGGAACAAGAACTTTTGCTGTGTATGTGGCTGGTAGGTGGAAGAGAAATGCTCTACCCTCAGTCCTTGGAAGCCTGCTTGCTGTGCTTCCTGAAATGTAAGAGGGCTGGTCTTTGTTGTTGGGCAAGCTGTTTTAATTCCCTCCCGAATGCTTGGCAACCAGAATGGCTTCTGAAGCACTTTATATGCGTTCCAGCGTAGTGCAGTGCCGTAGTTAGGTATGGTAGCAGATCTTTCACTTGGCGGGTGCTGCAGTAACATGAGCGCCGCCAGAAGCTGCAGCAAGAAGCTGTCCTAGCTGAAAGTGCCAAATCGTGGTAGTGAAGCCTCTGTGCTGTAAGCATCTTTTGAATGTGACTTGAATATCTCATGAAATGCAAATGTCTAAGCTTTCCTTTTAAACATGCCTGTACCTAAAAACATCAATTTAGATGGAGATGAATTTGTCTGTTCTTCGTAACTGCTAGCCCTGCCCACCTCCTTGTAGCACTGGGGGTTTTCTTTCTCCCCTTTCTTTTCCTGTGTCTCAATTGTTTGTGGTTTGGTTTCTTGTTGAACAGTGAGAGGATTCTGCCCTAGAGACAGCGATAAATAGCTTGGCTTATTGCATTATAGCTCTGTGCTTAAAGCATCCGACTTCCTTCCACAAAGGAGGGGACTGAAGGTGTTTGTCTGCCCTCCAGGCATGCTAGGGGCCTGGGGAAAACAAGGGCTTTAAAGGGGATCTTCCAGGCAGTCTGTGCAGATGGAGCTGTGAGGCCTGAGCAGAACTAAGTGCCTGAAAACACAACCGACGGTATAGATACCTGAGGCAGCAACAGGGATTTAATCCCAGCACCATCCAAGACTTGACCTCTCACCTCCCGGAAGGCGGGACGCGGCCCTGCCTGACAGGAATTCACCTGGGAGCACGCTGGGGCACGGAGGAGGCTGACACCGGCCTTGGTGCTCGCTGCCTCCTCGCTTCCCAGGGCAGAGCCTCGGCAATCCTCACCCAGCCGCTAGCGCTGGGGGCGACTGCGTGGCTCTGCCCCGGCGCTGAGGGACATGGTGCCCGCAGCGGTCACAGCACAGCTCCCCCTGCTCTGGCCTTGGGTGCTAGGGGAATGACGGGCTCGTTTGCTCTGCCTTCCCTCAAAAATACAAGTGGAAGAAATGCTAGACAGTGTTTTTTTCTTTTCTCTTTTCCAAAATCAAAAGCGGTTAGGCCACGGTGGGACCAAATGCACACGGGCAGAAGGCAGAACTGAGTTTTCTTGCTGCCCAAATCTTGGGGTGAGTGCACGTGAAGCAAGGAGTGTGGCCATTCTTTGCTAGGGCCATATCCTGGGGAAAAAACAATGAGTTTGAGGTGTGCAAATTTGTCTTTTTCTGACTAGCTGGATGTTAACTACAGGAAGGGGACAGAGTCATGCTCCTGTTGAAGCGTTGCAGCGCTGTAGCTGACAGAAAAGTTCCAGGGCCAGAGAGGATGAGGGATGAGGGCACATCTGAGCCTAAGCTGGAGCAGCTCCTGGGCAGTCCTGTGCACAGAACTGCTACCTAGTGGCTGTTTAATCCAAAACGGTCTCTTCTGTCCCTGCTGAGTGCTTCAGCCTTTTGGCTGAACCTGCTCTTTTAACTCGAGTGCTTTGTGAGCCTTGGAGGTGTCCCAGCCTGCACCCAGGCGGTCAGGCAGTTACTTGGAGGTAGAAGTTGTGGCCGCCCGCCCTCGCTTCCTGAGCAGGGCCTTAACTAAAGGGCACTGGCGTGGGTGCTGCTGTCAGCAGCTCTGACAGAGGCTCTTGTGCTGTTCCACATGTTGAACCTGCACGTGCGGTAGGTTTTGAACAGCTACCAGGTAAGACCCTTCAAAAACTAATAGCTGGTTTCAAAACTGGCAAATCTGAAGGCGTTTTGAAGGCTCACTCTACCACCTTTCCCATTACTCTTTTCAAACATCCTGCGTAATTTTTCTTTGGTAACTTTGCAGAGGGGACACAAATCCCTTGAGAGAGCTACAGAGCTGGGCAGGCAGCAAGGTGCTTGAAAAGATGACTGCTGTGCTTTGTTCTTTACCAAAGCTAATCCTCGTGCTCTTCTTAAAGACTAAGAGCTAAATGTTACAACTAGCTAGCATGGGAATTAATTACACTAGGTTCTAGCATGCCTTCAAAATTGTATGCATCTAAAAAGCCAAAGCAGATGACTGTGAAGGACTATGAAGCAAGGCAAAATAAAATCACCTCTTTCCTTGCCACCCTCAGCAAGGGAGGGCAAATTTCTGGCATTGAATGCCTTTGTTTTGTTTAAACTTCAGGGAGCATGACAACTACAGAATCATGGCTACTGCCTCCCTTCATAGTCAGTATCGTGAGCTTAAGACACTTCTACTAAATTCCAAACTCCAGATGAGCCAGCTGATAGCACTGGGAGGCTAGACTTGCAAAGCTCTGAAAACCGCAACACGTAAAACCCATCTTTGCGAAACAAGGTGAAACAATTAAGCTATTTTGCTCTTTTACAATACCATAGAATTCACTTTTGCTTATAACATAGAGTGCCAAATAAACTCCTGCGCTGTCAATTTTGATTGCAGTTTGAATTGCAACACTAGTTCCTTTCCTTCCTACAAAACAGCTGTCTCATTAGGAAACTGTTCATAGACCTCAGCAAAAGGAAACTCCAAACCTTTTAGTCTTGTGTAGCAACTACAGCTGTCATCTGCTACTTTACATACAACAGGCCATGGCTGAATTTCCTGGGGAATAACTTTAGACTCCATTTAGGAACTGAGTTTAGTTTACATTTTCTCACAGGATATGTGTGTTAATAGTTTACATACAGAAGTGTGTGTGTTTTGGTTTTGTTTTTTTTTTCCAAATGCAGTAGTAATTTTGTTCTGCTCTATGTATGAAAATAACCTTTTTCCTTCAGCATATTGACCACCAGGTAGAGCTGGAACCCAAGCCTGCATACATGCTTGACCAAACCAAGATTCTTGTTCAGCAGAGGAAAGGATGAAAGTTCAAAAGGGAAGTCTGCCTGTGCTGTTACAGCTCTTTACTTGAAACAAGCATTGAACCAGCTTTAAGAGTTATACTGGCATGGACTTTTGTTTAAATAAACTTTCAATTTTGGTATCAATTTTTTTTTGAGTAATTACACTTAATTTGAATCAGTTTTATCTGAGGCATGTTCATCTGTACAAAAATACAAAGCTTGCTTAATGCTTTACATTAATTCCAAAGCTGTGCTTATTAATTACTCCAGGATATTCATTACCAATTTAACTTTGTGATCTCCAACTGCAAATTAAATATTTATCCCCAGACAGACTCATAAGTTTGAACAATATTCTTTATTAAAGCGGAGAGAACCTTGGGTGAATGCAACACAGATGAGTTTGTCGTATCACTTTAATTGGAAGAACCGAACTGAAGTCATTCATGCTGAAAAGGCTTTTTTCTTTTTGCGAGGTGGTTTCTTGATCTTATTTGGATTTGGAACAACTTTCTTGATTTTCAAAGGCTGTAAAATCACATCTGAAAGATCGCGCTGATTGCTGTCTGTACGCTTCCGCTTCTGGCTTGTGTGCTCATCCTCCACTGTCTCCTCAAGCTGCTCAGGTTCATGAATTTCTGAAGAATCTGCATTTGCCGCAGATCCTTCAGCTCTATACTGAAACCATGGCACTTCCAAAGCTGGTATCTTTGGAATTATTGCTTCTATTACATCAGTAAATTTATCAGACTGCCTTTTAAAGCCCAGTGCTAAAACGGATGTTAAGCCAAGAAGTGGTGCTATCGTTTCACTGAGTCGGGGAACCTGGCCTGCTGGGGTGTCTCGACTTGCGCTCAGCTGGATAAGGTGCGATGTGATCATGGCAGGCTTTGCAGATTTGCACACCAGCAGAAGAAGCAGCTCATTTTTTTCCAATCCTTTTGTAACTTCATTAACTCCAATCGCAAGTTGTCTTCTGATACTTATGTCAGTCCACCCTGGTGCTTGTCGATTGCCTTCTGTTTCCTCTGCTGTAGGGAGCTCATTGTTGCTAGCATCACACTTTCTTTCCATCTGTTTTTTTGTACTGGAACGCTTTTTCTTCCTTGGAGCCTCTACCTTTTTAAGTCCAATTTGTTTAATGCTTTCTTCTAAAGTCTGTAATATAAAATGCATGTTATCTCCATCTATGGTTTTCCACTGAATATCGAAGGGGTTGTCTAGACAATTTTTTACAGTGGTTTTCTTTGCTTTACGAAGTGATGCCGTCCCTTGCTGAATTACAGACATCCTGGGGTTCTTATGTGTTTTGCCACCCTAGCTGTGAAGGGAAGAAAAAGGTAAACAGTGTTTAAATATCGTGCTGCTTGCTGGGGACTTCATTACCAGAGCCTTCTCTTGGGAATGCAGAAGAGAAACATCACATCTCAAAATGGTACTTCCAACTGGCACCTTCTTCACACTAGCTCAGTGCTAATCCTTAACAAATCTTCCACAAGGCACAGGTTGCACCTTTTTTTCTCTTTTTTTTGTTTTAAAGAGCAGGCTCCAGAGCAAGGCAACACCAGTGACAAGAAACCCTTCTGAAGCTGAACCTGAATGAAAGCAGCTAGCTGTTCTGCAGATTAAAAACAGAAGTTGAAGGATCACTTCTCACTGTTGCACAGCTGCATTTTAGAGCTATTATGACATGAAAAAAAGCTGCAAAATCACGACATGAAACAAGCTCCACATTCTTGAATTAATTTAACATTTCATAAACTTTAATTTGCCTTTTCATTCTTTAATCTTACACCTGCATACCTGCATTTAGATCATACCTGCAATCATACCTGCATTTAGTAGGTATGATAAAAGGCTGCAGAGTGTTAATTATGCTTTTGATGAAGGGAGGCTAACCTCTGCAGGCCTCCAGAAAGTTCAGAAGGGGTCTTTCACTTTTATGTCACCTAGACCACGTGTTTTCGTGAAAAATCAAACTGGTGCAACGAATGGATAGTTGTTCTAGCTCTGATCTACCTAGTTGAGATCACAAGTCAAGACATGACAGCGGGTCTGCCTGCAGGCCCTGTTCACTCCTTAAGTCCCCAAACTCACGCTTGGGTTATGCCATCCTCTTGCCAAGCTACGAGGCCTTTATAGTTATACAGCCCAGCTTACACAGGAGGAGCAACTCAGGAGAAACAAAACACGCCTGTGTCCTTAGGTATCCTCCTTACCCAAGCAGAAATGTGTGGTTTGAGTGCCGACCTTGAGATATTTACAAAATGCCATCTTGTCACTCACATCAATTCTCTATGTACTGGCAATTAGCTAAAACAACTAAAGGATCTTACACGTTTTGTAGCTGTGGCAGAGGGAAGAGGAAACTCTTATCATAGTGAAGTAAAAAGTAAATAAAAATCGGTATTGTTGCTTTTAAAGCCTTTCAGTGATGACTGATGGCCTACAGCGGGTATCAAGTAAAGGCAGCACTAATGTATGGGAAGGAAAAAACACGGCAGATTTCACAGCCGAAAGACTGCCTTTTTCTGCTGCAAAACTGCATTTTTCCTTTCAAAATGGACGCTACCGAGAACAAGGAGTGCATAGGGACGGGAATTAAAGCGCCAAGAGGAAACCCAGCGCCCTCCACGCGGTGCCAGCCTCGGGCCCCTCGCTTCCTGCAGGGGGGGCCGGGCAAAGCGGGGCCTTCCTCCACCTACCTCCGGCCGAAAAAAAAAAACACCCCGCGTCTCCACACCGCCGCTCCGCGATCGCTCAGCGACAGCCTTCCTCCAGCTCCTGCGGTGACGAGAGAAGCACGGGAGCCAACGCCGCTTGCTGCGCCGCCAACGCGAAGCGGCTGAGAGCGGGGCCGCCCTCCCCGCAGCCTTGGAGCCGTGCCCGAGCCTCGCAGCCCCAAAACCCCGTCTCGGTCCCAGTCCTGGTCCCGGTGCCGGTCCCGACCCCACACGGCCCCAGCACGGCGGCAGCTCCCAACCCGACTCGTCCCGCCCCGGGGAGGGCGGTGGGGCCGGCAGCGAGAGGCGGCGCCACGGGGCGGTGGCGCAGTGCTGCCCTCAGCGGGCTCCGTGGGGTTTGGGGCCGGTGTTTGGGGTGGTAGTGCTGCTGCTGGACGTGTCTTGCAGCGTGTTTTTATCAGGTAGCGATAGACGGGCTCTGTCGTGTGCGAGCTGATGAAATCGTGGCGAATTAGTGAGGATTTCGTGGTGGCTTCACCGCAGCTCTCAGTGCTAGTGCATGAAGCATCGCGAGCACACACCATATTCTAACGCTGGTGAGGAGATGAGGCGTAAGGACAAAGCTGAAGGCTCCCCACAGTGCCACAAACCATTAACAGGTGTCCCAGAAGCTCCTTCTGTCCCCATGTGTCCCAGCACGCCGCTCCCCTCGCTAAATGGCAGCCTCTGTGCCTCGCTGTGGTGGAGGACGGAGGCCAGGGACTTGTTTTCCCTTGTGTTTTTATCTCCTCTTACTGAGATTTAATACTTTTGTTTTCTCTGCAAGCCTTGGTTTAATTTAATCCAGTCTTGATTTGAGAGTAAACACCCCTTTTACGTGAGTTTACGGAAGCTGGTGGATTAAAAAAGCTGAAGCGTATGGTGTTGTGATTAAAGCCATGCCCGAGGAATGATGAGTACAAAGGTACAGAGGGATGAACATAAAGAATTAGTGAATTGATGTAATAGGTAAGTGGGGCTAGATTTTTTCCTTTAATAGGTACAATTGGAGGTCAGTTAATTTAATGTTTGTTGTTCCTTCTGTATTTAGCAGAACAAAGAAAACCCAGCTTCTGTGGGATGCGGCCCCACTGTGGTGGGCACCAGGTCCCCACAGGGCCGGTCACCAGGTCGAGCTGCAGAGGAGAGGATGCTCACAGTGACGGTGCTGGTGGCGATTCAGATCAGGCTCGCATTCATTCACCCCGAGGAAATCCCTTTTTCAAACAAGTGCCTTGGAAACCCTGCTGCAGCTCTGCTCTCGAGCTGGTGGCCTGATCCTCCAGGGTACAGACGCGAGCTCAGCTTTCCCAAGGAGACAAGCGTGGGCACCCTCGTGGGCTCAGCACACAGCAAATCGAGCCAATATCCCTTCACCAGCCCTGATGGCAGGCCAGCTCTCCCAGCACGGCCCCCAGATGAGGCCACTCGGTGCCCGGCCCCATCACGTGTGGCCCCTGCCGCCCTGCGGGGCGCTTCTGCAGAGCTGGGAGGCAGAAGCTCTGCGTCCCCGCAGGAGAAGGAGTGAGGCTGGCCCCTGGGCATCCCCACAGCACCATGACTCTCCAGGTAAGCGATTCTGCATCCCAGCCAGACAGAAGAGGAGCAAGAGGGATGCACCATCCGTCCGTGCAATGCCTCGTCAGAGACAGACATGTTTCTTCACCGTAAGGATTGCTGCTGCAAAATCAAGGTTACCTTGCAGCACGTAAGCCTCTGACAGTTAAACAGTGCATTGCTTTTTGCAAGTGGAGGTTGAGACACAGGCAGCTGATTTTGAACTGTTCCAGGCTCATGTAATTTTGCGGAGGTAGGAGACACAAATGCTCTTAGTGTGTGTGAATTGTTTTCTTTGTGTGCACATCTGACTTTGCTGGGACTAGCTTGCACACTGAGAGGTAGGTATGTTATTTAATTTTTAGGTGCTAGCTACTTACTTACTCAGAGCTACAGAAGAAAAAGGGAAACTTCTAACACTGAATCAGTGGTTTATGTGCATTTGGGAAACACGAATAACATTTAAGAGAGCATGAATTTTTTTCGGGTGTGTATGTCTTTGGAGTGGTACATTTTGAGATGCATTTTGGTAGAAAAGCTTCTTCCTTCTGCTTTCTCTCTGACTGCATTTAAATCATTCCCGAGGAAGTTATTTTCATTGCTGGCTTTTATCATTGTACCATTGTAGTGAAGTGTGAATACTTTCCTTGTCTTGCCCATGGCCTGATGGATTAGGCTGTAATTTCTTATTAGGCTTTCTGTTATCCCTTTCACTTTAAGATTTGCAAGCCCTTTTTATCCTGCTCTCATTATAATGTCCGTCTCAGCTTGGTTTGTGTGTGTGTGTGTGTGTGTGTGTGTGTGTGTGGCAAAGAGTGAGCAACACAACGCTCTGACCTAGATGCAGGGAGTGTATTGTCAGTA